TATATGAAATGGCGAATACGTGTAACGAGTAATCAAGTGTACGAGCATGAATATAACTCACATAGTATGCATGTAAGGATCAAACGTAAGTCTATCGGTTCTGTCTGCATGTACATACATACTATATATATGTATATCCACTGTTGCTACGTTGTGTTATTAATACATACTAACTCACATTTCAAGTTCATCGTTCCGTCGAGAATCCTTTTTGTACCGTTGATTGTTAATTATTATTGATCGTCGATCTCTTTGTCGTACGCGCGGAGTATCTATTATCTATACACTCATATTTTAACAGACTTTTGTAACTTTTGGAAAAGAGTTCTGGTTTATAAAGCAATTAACAAACGTGAATCCATTGGAAGAATTATTTCCTTTCCGCGTGCGATGATTTTTTAGAAACGCATTGGATAATTGTCTACGATAAATTGTTTGTTAAGAAGTAATGAACACTTTAATTATAGCGATGAGAACTACGTTGGTCGCATTTGTAAATTAGATGCAGTAAGATGTTGTAACAAATAAATGTAAAGAAGTTCACAATAGAGCTATGTAAAGAAAATTTTTGAAATCCTGGTACGTTTGAATATTTAGATATTACTGCAATTCGATCTTGAGATTCGAATAATTCTATTTCATATAAAATGAATAGTCGAATAATTCGAGTACTTCGAATATCATGCATATTTTTGGACGGTAATTAAATTGTTACCGTATTTGTATTGATACCGTCAGTTTGCAGTATATATATTTCCATATTTATTAGACTTGTGATACTTTTGACCAATTCTACACAGACTATCTGTATTACACATTTAAATACATACAGATTATCTTGATATTCAAATATTTGAAATATTCATCTATTTTTTATCGGAAACCTCACGTTCAAGTTTTATCGAATTATCCGAATAACAGAATTACTCGAACATCTACAACCTCTACTCACGCTTAAGTTCTGTCACTTACGTCTTATGAGGTGCAATAAAAAAGTTTCCGGACTATCGCTATAAAAAAATAATTGACTAATCTTATTTTCCCCTTTCGAAGTAATCCCTTTCGAAGTAATCTTCTTAGACAGTAACTCTTAACTAATAATGTAAAAAAAAAGTGAAGAAAGTTTAACGCAATTAATGAACCCTTAGTTTTTTTTTACCTTCTTTAAACTTTTTCTTTAATTGTCAGAACATAATGTTAATCATTTTTATTGATTATCTAAGAAATTTAAGAATATAAAAAATAGAAAAGAAATTTTGTTGTATTGAAATTAATACTTTTGATTATTTTAATAAATTTATAAATAAGAACTAAGTAAAAAGATAAGATTTAAATTGTTTGGAAAATCTCTTAAATATCTTCTTAAGAATTAAGTAAGTGATCAGTCCAAGAACTAATTTTGTACCTCGTATGATCGACAAAATAATTGAGGCAATTTTTTTTAGTGATCCTTAAAACATCGTCGATATCTGCGATAACAAACACTGTCTTATCTTGATTAATTTGAATTTTGACATTGATTTATTTTATCATATCGTATCGTAATAATATGTGTTCGAGAAATTCATGATCATGCCTTAACGACAAGAACAAGTCCTGTTGTTAATAATGCTTTCTCTCTTGTACGAATTTAATATTAATTTAAAAATAACACGTTTTACACACATATACAAAGTGTACTGTTCGTGTCTGCCAAGGATTTTATCAAACGTAACTAGATTAGGATACAAGATACTGCGAATTTATATCATAATAACGTATCGCGTTTATCGCACATTTCTACTTAGCGTTGGTCCTTGCATACAATTATTTTGTTTCGTTATTATTCGATTGTAATAATTCAGAAACACGTATTTAAAATTGAGTCATGTTAATGAATATTTCAAAAGATAATAATTCAATAATTAATTATTCAAAACATCGATATAAATATTTTATACATTTGATTAATAAAGTAAGTATTTTTAGTGAATAATAATTTTCCAAAAAAATATTATTTCAATAACAGAAGAAGATACATTTTTTGTTGGAGCATTTCATTAAAAAAAAAAAAATACTTTTTTTTATCATAGAATCTCTTATTATATAATATGTTTGCCGATATCGTGAATCATTTATGGGATATTACAAGATGAGTTAAAGATACCGTCTAAAATTAATTCCCAGAGGCGGCAGGAAAATTGCGTAGAGTATCTGAAGCCGACGCTTAAAGGTTAATCTATCGTTGTGAGCCTATTTTTTCTGATAGCGCGTGAGATACGTGAGAGAAGACGATAACATGAACTAACATTTCTCTCGATAGACATAAGCATTCTGTTATACAATTTTTTATAATCGTCCGCAAGACACTCCCTGTTGTATTCTTAGGTAATCTCGTGTCTAAGCAGGACACGGAATACGATAATTAAGCGTTTAATTGATAGAACGTATTTACGGTCATTGGTATATTATTAGTGTCAGCTGCGTATGAAGCGGCCAAGCGTGTTTAATGACGTTGGCAGAGCCTTGGTACGTACAAGCGAGATTTTCATGTTGAGATATTGGAAATGCACATCTGTTTGTAGCTGCAAAGTGATGTTTTTGTATATTGAAAAAAATATCTTCTTTTTGTATAAAAATACTACAGTCAAGTAATGCGAAAAAGACGTTATTTACGCGTTTATTATAAATTATAAATCATCTTATCTGGCAAAGAAGGCGGAGTAGATTGTCATATTTGTCGAATAAATTTACATCTCGATTTTTATTAATTAATGTGAAACGTCAGTTTCATTTTTCTTCATAATATACGCGGAGAAGTTTAAGGTCTTTTCCAGTAATTAAAACAATTGAATTTATTTCAAGTAAAATTTAGTGAAAAGGATTTTTTTGTACTAACTTTATAATTAAGTCACACACAGAACACACACAAAAAGTAGAATGTCGCTTTCGAAAATTTGCATGCGTATAAGTGTCACGGTTAAATTGACACTTCTGTTACCGAATAAATAAAGGATCAAATATTAGCGATTTGAATTGAGCTCACGCTTTATGAGACGGCCATAATATAAAATCTTCTACATAACATCGAACGATACACCATCCTCTTTCTTTTCCGTTATTTTATTTTATTGACGGTTACGCGTTATATGGATAAGCGCAATGTTGTCTGTATAACAATGAAATAATAGAAACATACTAGAAGGTAAGAAGACGATTGCAGGTGAAGTGTCGATAAGTGTTTAGCATCCTGTCAGAATATGTATGTAACGTACCAGCAAAAAAATGTTATCGATATCGATGACTTTCACCCATAATTTATTAAAAAATTACGAAAATACTTACGACTAAGACGAATACGTAAATACCACGAAAGGTAGTCTTTGTTTGTGTATGTTTTGAATATATGTATATACAATTATACATATATAGATGATATGTAAACAACTGGCGATTCGGCGTTACTGCCTGTCAGCCGAGACGCCACTCTCTGTCCACTGTTCAAATTAGCAATAAATTTTAATTTCCCTAACTTTGCTGTCATTTTATAGAAAGTGCCGTGGTAACGTCGAATCGTATCCCAGGTAGCTAAAAATGTATCGAGTTGCGAGTATAAGTACACTTATTTTCTCAGAAAAAAACACATTAAAATATTAAATATTATATTATATATATATATAATAAAATATCTCCATTGTGTACATACTTTTATATATACTTTTCCTAACTCCTATTATGACTATTATACGTATTTATGCGAGTTATTAGCTCGGAGAAAGAGAGACGTGCAATTTTTTAATTAATACAAATTATAGGGAATTAAAATCTCCATAAAATTATAAAATTTCATCAAAATTTAATAGATGAATAAATTATTAATTTATATATATGTGGTATATAAATTTAATATTTTATTTAATATATACAAATAATCGAATGATAATATGCTAATATGACATCAAATTTTTTCTGCATAGTAATATTCAATTAATTTTATTTTGTTTATTTATTACAAAATAATAGATATCTATTACAGTTCCAATAAGTTACGTATGTCTAAATTTTCTACGTTTGTGATATAATTAAAAATTATTGTAAAATGTGAAATCAAATCTTCTCTTCTTTATTTAAAATTCGTGTTTAAACGTGTAAATCGATTTTCTTTAACAAGTTTCTGATTATTACCTGGAATTGCTGAAAACTGCAAAGCAACCATGCTGCTTTAAAGAGATTTCTAGATTTCCATTTCTTCGCTCTATTTTTTCATAACAGTATTAATATAAATCTCCAGCTATAATTATAACTTTAATTCTTGCACCAATAAAACCTTTATCAAAGTCCAAATAAAATGCACTTGTTGTTCGAGGAAACTTATCTTACGGCTAATGTTTGAATTGTCACATATTAACACGTAAAAATTTAAAACAAGAGATACGATGTCTAGTAACTACAATCGACGACTGACGCATTTTGCCTCTGCAAGAGCATTCTGTTCGCATGTATATTTTTGCTTATACATTTCTAATCTCTATTTCTTTGGAAAATTCTCTTTAGAATCATGTGAAATGTAACACCTGTAGGAAAGATTGAAGAGTATTCGATAACGTACCTTTTTATATTCCTTTATGCCACTCCCGAGCGCAAAGACGGTTTTAATCTAAATACAATATAATTACGAACAGAGTTCGTCGATGGCGTGCAAATACATTAACATTGCATGTTCCTTTTCACGAGAAAGGTATGAGGAGGGTATGTACCCCGTAATAATGCAGTCCTCCTATTCCGTGATACCACTAGCATGATAATAGACTGGAATAATAAAAGGGGAAATAACTCGATCAAAGATTCTGCCACGATTGCCGTAGTGTACATCTGTTATTACGTATCTTCCAGATATGTATCATTGTAGTGTGCGATACTACGAATCTCGTTAATACGGCTGAAGTAGCAGTCGGTGCATGATGACGATGAAGAATGTGAAGAAGGATAAATTTCTATCGATACGGCTGGTGAGGTTTCTCATGAAGGTTGTCGGTTTCTGGCCCGCCGAGTCAAAAACCGAGAAACGATTATTGAACGGAATTTTGAGTTATACAATATGTATGTGTAGTACAGCTTTGTATGTGGAAGTAACTGAAGTATATCTAGGTAAAGGTGATTTTTATGTGAGTATCACACAATTTATGTCTAATAATAAAAGTAAGAAAATAATAAAATTTTGGTTAACGCGGCTAATATCAATGGATTAATATAATAATAAATAATTAATATAATAATATAATAATATTCACTTGTATAATAGTAGTCAAAATCTATGTTTGGGAAGTAATACGTTACTTGTAAAGTTGTAACACCATTACTATTACAGTTACTTTTTTGTAACAATCTGGTAACGTTGTTCTTTATTTTGTAAGATACATTTTTACTGTAATGGTAACAAATTTAATATTTACTTTTATCGTTATTTTTTAGTATATAATATAATAATTTATATTGTTCCCTACCCAATAAACACAGATTGGTATAAGAAACGTATAAAAACGGATATAACCATACGTATTGTACGTGTAAGAAACGTATATAATAAACGTATATAATCCGTGGACATGTCCTCAACCCATCCCATTTTAAATACGTATATATAAACGTATTTATAAACGTTTATATAAACTTATTTATAAACGTATTTTAAAACGTACATATAAACGTATTAAACAAACGTATATAATTCGTGGACATGTCCGCAACCCATCCCACTTTAAATACGTATGTATAAACGTAATTTTAAACGTATATATAAACTTATTTATAAACATATTTTAAAACGTACATATAAACGTATTAGATGAGCGTATATAGTTTGTGGACATGTCCGCAATCCATCCCATTTTAAATACGTATATATGAACGTAGTTTTAAACGTACCCAATAAACACATAATGGTATATTATACGTTAAAATCAATTATTCTCTAATCGAATAAAAAAAATTTTTTTTTAATTTTTAAATAAAATTTGTTTTTTTTAAATTATTTTTATGTAGACTTATAGAATTAATATATAATAGTTCTATATACAATTTATGAATTACAAGTACATATAAGATATTTTATAATTTTTGAAAACGCATATGGATATCGATGGGATTCGAACCTAAGACCTTTGAGGTGGTAATTGTATATTGAGTATACTGAAAACGTTAAAAAAATGTATATTTATTACAGTTTTTTAACGTATACTGTTATATGGTATAATAATCATTTATTATTGCTACGTATACCATTTCTGAATTTTCAATACGTATAATATACCATTGAATGTCTATTATATACATTAGGTTTATTAAAAACGTTTAAAACATGTATATTTATTAAGCTTTTTAAATGTATATTCTTATACGTATATCATATACTATATTTATACCATATTTTTCCTATAATGTGTATATTGAGTATACTGAAAACGTTAAAAAAATGTATATTTATTACAGTTTTTTAACGTATACTGTTATATGGTATAATAATCATTTATTATTGCTACGTATACCATTTCTGAATTTTCAATACGTATAATATACCATTGAATGTCTATTATATACATTAGGTTTATTAAAAACGTTTAAAACATGTATATTTATTAAGCTTTTTAAATGTATATTCTTATACGTATATCATATACTATATTTATACCATATTTTTACTATAATGTGTATATTGAGTATACTGAAAACGTTTAAAAAATGTATATTTATTATATTATTTAACTGTATACTGTTACACGGTATAATAATCGTTGATTATTTTTACCTATACCAATTCTATACCATAGGTACGTATATTATATCATATTTATACCATTGAGTGTTTATTGGGTATGCTTTTTCTTTTAAATCTTCTATTTTAGTTCTATGTTAAGGTTTTTATATACAATATTAATTTTTTATAATTTTTTCGTGGATAAAATTAATATAAAATTACTTTCTTATTTTCTCACTAATATTATTTTACAAAAAATAAAGAGTTAGTAATAAAAACTATATTGATATTTTTTTAGGCCCTTACGTACACTGCCTGCAGCTCTATGCCGGTAGTTATAATAATGCTGAAAATAATTTTCTTCCTTCGTTATCGAAAAGAACTAATGAATATGTTAAAATATACAGAGGATAATTTTTGGTTCGCTCAATATGACGAGTACGGCAGGAAGATTTTGGAAAAGATTAATAAAAAGGGTCTAATATTAATGTGCACGTTTACATTCTTCGTTCAAGGAACTGTTTGCACCTATATGCTGACTCCCATACTCGGTATCCTGAATCTAAATTTACACATCGCCTACTTACAATTAGTAGAGAATAGAACACAAACGCGGTAAAAAGTCTTAGTTCAGGTACTAAGTACTTTCGTTCATAAACTGTTGCGCAGACAAGGATATTATATTTCTCTTTTATGTTATATTTTTATAGAAAATATAGGAAAAAATGAAAGCGACAGAATTCTTCCTTTTAATGTCTGGATTGGAATTCCGACAACCGTTTCGCCTAACTTTGAAATAATATTTACTATCGAGGTAATACAGTATATTCTTCCAAAATTGTGTTATAATAAGAACATTTAATTAATTTTTTGCGACAATTGTTAAACTTTTATAATGTCATATTAATTACATTTTTGAAGAATTAACGATTATTAGTAGTAATAAGTGCTTGCATTCGATATAACATCTCGTTGTCGACATGTCAAATAACGCATAAAAAGAACGGTTTTATTGAAATTTATTAAAAAATTCAGCTAGACACAACGATCTGAAAATAATTTTGTTTGACTAAAATAATTATGTAGGACATTTAAATTAATCACTAAAATATCAAAACTTCATGTAACATATTGTCCATGATATTTGAAAATTCTTACATAATTATTTTTAGATATAGTAAAATGATTTTCAGATCTGTACCTATAGTTAGATTTATGGATACTTCAGCTAAATTATTTTTTTCCGTGTGTAAATCTTTTCTTTCAGAATTTGATTTTATAGATTTCAGCGCTCGTTCATTGTGGTATATGCTTCTGCTGTTTCGATAATCTTTTGGGTCTAATAAATTTGCACACTGCTGGTCAGTTCAAAATTCTGCAACACCGATTGAAAACTATCCTCAAGAAAGTCGAACAGACTGATACCATAAGGTCACTTGACGAGAAGCAGAAGCAGAAAGTATACGAAAAGCTCAAAGAATGCGTTATATTGCACCACAAATTGATCTGGTACAGCGAAAAAATGGAACAAATTTTCATGTACCCGACTCTTTGCCAGCTGTTAGTATCCGGTGTCATGCTTTGCGTTGCGGGCTTTCAGGTGTTTTTGGTAAGTAAGTGTAGTTGTGATAAATGAGAGAGAGAAAAGGCAAGACGTTATACTATATCAGAACCCTTTGTTCGCAAAACGTTATGTCAAATAAGTGAAAGTATTTTAAGAGAAAGATGAACGTAAGTATATGTATCTTACCTGCGTTACTTGCTGATCTTCTTCACACGTTTGCGTCTTTATTGGAAAAGGGTCAAGGTACTCTCGTTAGACGACTGATATTCATCGCTCATACAAACGGTTGCTTCATCCAACTTTTCGTGGTCACGCTGACGGCGACAGATTTAATGAATGAGAGTCGTGCTGTCGGAGACGCGGCGTATAACACCAATTGGCAGGTTCTATCCTACGAGGAGAACAGGGGAATCAGGAAAGCCATTTTGATGATCATGACGCGATCCGTACGTGCTTGTTCCATATCCGCTGGCGGTTTCTTCCCGGTCTCACTCGAGACGTTTATGGCGGTAAATCTAATGTAAAATATACAATTACAGGTAAACACTTTTTGCATTACACACAAAACAATATTTCTTTCCTCCTTCAGGTATTGAGCACAGCGGCGTCCTACTTCGCCTTGCTTCGTAAATTCGTGGAGTGAGAGCTCGAACATATTTTAAATTAAATAAGAAATAAATTAAAGAAAAGGCTTAGAAATATTCAGAACATTAAAATGTCTAGTTTTTGACACAGTTGCATATAATCTTAGATATTAAAAAATACGATACGGTGTTTGTACAATGCTTGAAATGTATATATGTAACATTGTAATATTCTACAGAAATGTTGTCCAAGATCAAAGATTATCTGATTTTATTTTTAATAACGCTTTTTAAAAACTAATGCAAATAAAATCGATCTTATTTCTGATAGAAAAAAATTTTCTCGCGGAAAAATTTTTTCCTTTGTGTAGAATTGTCCGCTAAAAAATGTGTGCAAATATTTTCTTTATCCATTATATTTACATTGTATTTATGCGAGAAACTCAAGTTATTATATCATATAGTTAATAACTAAAACTCATCCGCAAATACTGTATTACCTCCAACAATACCGTTCTTGTACACAGCAAGTAGACGTACAATTTATGATGAAGTTTGATAGCTCGCAGTTAGGAAGCTACTGACGGAAGCGGCGCGGAGAGAAAAAGCCACAGCATTGTCCATCGGAGATCGAACTTAATAATGCATATACCAATTGATTGCCTTCAGCAAAGGAGACGCTTATAGTACGATTATAGTCTGTCACCCGGCGCAAGGTAAGTGCGCCAATTTTCCTGCTTGTTAACATAATGGGCTCCCACTTATATTGAAATGGCCCAGCTATTCGGATGCACTTAAGACCGTAGCGGCGTAAGAAAATCACGAGGTTCGGTATGACGAGAAGTAAGGAGTACCGATCAGTGAATATTACCCGGCTCTTTATGAAAGTAGTCGGACTCTGGTATGTCGAGACACCGAAAGAAAGACTGTTCTTGCGTGTTGCGTTCGGCTATGCTGTTTGGGCGATCGTCTTCGCCATTCTTGTCGAGGGCGTTGATCTGTATCACTGCATAGGTGACTTTTACGTGAGTGACGCAGCGATCTCTTTCGCAGTTATACCTTGACGGACGTAGGAACAGCACGTTCTTGAATTTATTTTATCGTTTTAAGTGCAGTTATTTTAAATTTTACTGTGTATTATTTTGATATTATCAAATTGAGTTATTGAAACGCATAAAAAAAAACTAATTAACATCCCCGATTTAATTTTGAAAGAAGAAATCTATAGAAAATACAGTTTGATTACAGTATTAATAGCAGAGAATGCATGTATGTTTTGCTTTTAAATTTTTTATATTTTTTTTATTTTGGTGAATTGAAATTGTTATAATTGGAAAAGTATAATTGGGGAGAATTTCTGATACTGTGTGTGTATATGTACATGAAAGTACGTATAGGAAAAGTGTATCTTACGTCAATAAAAATTTTACGTAACAGTTTTTAGTTGACGCAATTGCAAGTCAAAGAGAAATCATAAAATATTATATATACGTTTTGTACTTTATAATTTTTTTGTATCTTAAAAAATGTTTTCTATACTAATACGATCTTATAGTAATATTTAACATTATGTATGAAAATATTTATAACATAAAAACTGCCATGCGAAATATTTTTTAAATAAATAAACAGAAAAGCAACACATTATTAATATTATTATTTCCGCAAATTTTTTATTTTTGATTTTGATAGCTTTTTTAATACTAAATTTTTCTTTAAATTTTATTAATATAATTAATTATTTCTCTAATAATATGCCTTAATATGTTATAACAACATTGACAAAATTAATATTTGTAATGTCTGCTTATTTATAAATTTTTAAATTTCTCACAGCTGTATCAGAATGTTTATATGGGGGGACATTCTTTATTTAATTTTTAGTAATTTTATTTCTCATAGGCTGTCACATCCAACTTGTGTGCAACATTGCTCTTGATAATGGTACTAGTGAAGCTAGGTAGCTTCATGTTTTATCGTGATATGATAATGGACTTGATTCAGTTTGCTGAGAAGAATTTTTGGGGTGTCACTTACGACAAGTCTGACACTCAAATTCTAGAAGGATATGACAAACTAGGGATGACTATGATCTACACTTTTACATTTATCGTTTACGTTGCAACTTTTAATTACATCTTCGCACCTTTCTTTGGTATAACTTTCTTTTCCGCTTACACTGTATTGGCGAATTGTAATGTAACTTTTCAAACTGCCACGTGAAACGACGCTGTACAGCGCGTCAAATATTTCTTTGCTGTTTGTAATAGAGCCTCGAGAAAAGAATGAAACGGAGAAGATTCTACCTTTCAAACTATGGATCGACTTTCCATATCACTCACCGTACTATGAAATTACTTACATTATACAGGTAATATAACAGCTTATGAAATGATGAGTTTGTGTGCTTATATAGATTCATATTAATAACTAACAGTTTTATTGACACAATTGAACGAATTAATTGCAGTCACTTTCGACGATGCATTCGGGTATATGTACTTTTTGCTTTGACAATTTTGTGAGTACGTTCAACATTCACGCGGCTGCGCAGCTGAAAATTTTGGCTCACAAAGTGGAAGTCATTGCTGAACATTGTATCGAAGATATGATCGATCAGAAATGTCCGTTGGCAACGGATGTTGCGATTCTGACGTTCAAGAAATTGCGAGACTGTGTGAAGCAGCACCTCACCCTCATATGTTACGTGCGTAACATGCAACGCGTGTTCGCCATTATATTACTCGGACAGTTGCTGCTCTCCAGTATAGTCATCTGCTTCGGTGGATTTCAGTTTCTCGTGAGCTTACACATTTTATCGCTTCCTTATTTCATTTTCCGTTGTGCTTACTAGCCAGTTAATTCTATTTCCACTATAGCGTTTTCTCAAAGTGGAAAGCAATTAGGTTTGATAAATTCAATTCTGCGTTTAAATGAGATTGAATCCTCCAACTTATGTATTTATTCATTTACAACGTTTATAATGTATAAGCATAAAAATCAGCTATAATATATAATTAGAAGAATTAAAAAAAGAATTTCTGAAAATGTTTATAATCATGTCAAAATAGCAATTAAGTAAAAAAAAAAAATCATATTTTTAAAAAATAATTATAAACTCTACATTAAGAGGACTGATACTATCGTGTTTTCTAAAACGTTTTATCTGACATTTTTGTTTGCAGGCGACGGACGTGATTATCAGAAAGTGTATTTTTGCCTTTCATTTCGTGGGTGGTCTTATCCAGCTGCTTATTTATACATGGACGTGTAATGATATAATTGTGCAAAGTACAGCTATCTCTGATGCAGCTTATAATTCTAAGTGGTATCTTTTACCAAATAATGATCTAGGAAGGACAGTGAAAAGAGGGTTAATTACGGTCATGATTAGAGCACGTCGGCCATGCATATTAACCGCTGGAAATTTCGCAGTTATGTCTTTGGACACTTTTATGGGGGTAAGTGCGACGCAGCTCCTTAAAATTTTCTCAAAAAAATTTATTTGCTACAAGTTGTAAAAAGTACTGCTATCGGGGCCAGTTATTTATTCGTGCATGCTATACACTCACGGTTCGCACTTTACTCTTGTGCGCAGTTATAAAATATGTCGATAAGGATATATATACCTCGCACTTCTGGCACTTTTCTTATATATACTCAAAGTTTTTAGATCAACCCTTACGTCAATATCCTTATCCATATGGTACTTTAAATTAAAAAGTTTTTTAGTTCTTAAAATGGTCCACCAAACGCTGTTAAATTTCTATTCTTCTGATAATTTTGCATGGATTAATATGTATTAGAATAAAATTTAAATATAAGAATTATTTTATCATTGTTTGATAGTCAAGATACTTAGATACTCGTGTAGAAAAAGTTGTAAGATGAATTGTGAACATTATACCAGCATATAGTAAAAGCAAATTTTTTATATTATTCTTTTTTGACTAAAATAATTATTTTTAGGCAATTAATTTTATCCTGCTTAATTGTATGCATTTATTTCTATTTAATATTAATTAATTTAATTACAATCTCAACAGTTATTACTAAATAATTATGATAATATAATATTATTTATATGTATTTGCAACAGATATTAAGTACAGCGATGTCGTATTTTACGTTATTACGACAAATGAGTGAAGATAATGTATAGTTCTAAAATATAGTCTTATAGAAGGAATTCTTAGCATTGAAGTTGGAAAAATTCATCTTATTAATATCTCATAATTCATTTTAATATCTCTTAAAATTGCATATTTGATTTTTAATGAGGTATATGCCTAATAAAATTCCAAGTTCAAGGTGATGAACATTTTGCATCGCTAGAATTTTTTCTGTCGGTAAGTGAGCAATTACGTTCAATATCTTTATGATAATGATATTCATTATTTATGAAAATAAAGATATTTTTATTAAAAATAAAAAGCTACTTTATTTTAATTTTTGTGTAAAGTATATAATTTTTAAAATAATATATAGTTCTCTCGGTGACTATATGTTGCTATATTTATGTTTCTATTGTAGATATAACAGTTAAAAATTAATTATTAAAGCAATATAAATTTGTGACATTCGGATTAAATTAATTCATATCAATATTATATTAAAATTTACTGAGAAAATATGTAAATAATTAAGTAGAATAATAAGATATTGCAAACAGAAATAGGTTTCATTGTTCCATACTGAGTTTTGTAATCTTCAGAAGATCATTACCCGACGTACGATACAATGAGATGATACGTTGAATGTGAAGTTACCTCTCTAAATACAATACTAGACATATATACATATATATATATATATATATAATGTCTAGAAGATATTGCTATGTCTTTTAGATATTTTTTGGTTTTAATGTATGTCCCAAAAACGTCTTTATGATGCTTTTATGACGTCTTTTAGACATGTATATTGTTTCGTAGAATTTAGTAGTCGTGTAAAATTCGCATTGCCATCAGTCGGCATGTTACTCATTTTTGATGTTCAAGTTTTCAACATACGGAAACAATAAGAAATTAGAACATAATATAAAATATAGAAATTATATGTAGTATAATTTAAAACTATCACGTAATATCACTTTTTGAAATAAATATGACATATACTATGACTTATATTTATATTATAATAGATGATTTATTTTTTTATCTTATGATACCACCATCACTTTTTATTTGTTCGTATTTTTTCATGCTCTTTTAATTTAATATATTTTCTTTTTAATTAAAAAACTTATAGTTTCAAATTTATCGATCTATTTATGCGCAAGCATTAAGTAATAATAAACAACTCTTACATTTTAATGTTTTCCGTTAAGGATTCAGATCTTTATTATTTTTAATTTTTAATTCTTGTTAATATAATATATTCATATCTCAAAATTAGCATTCTTTTAATCTACTTAACAATTATAATTTATTTATACAAAGTCAAAGTCTATAATACATAAAAATTCTAGAAGGCAAAGTACTGTAAAAATAATACAGTATCAATGCATTGTACAATTGTTAAATTTATACGATGTTACGTCTTTTTTTTATAGTGTTCAATCAAGTCAGCAAATGCCTTCATACCAACGGATTCGAGATCACTATATTTAGGAATTTCGGCTTGGATCTTGATAAACCATCTCAGAATGTTGCTATATTTACTCAAGTCATAATCCACAAGCTGTAAAAAGAAAAATGTTAAATTCAATGTTATTTTTGTTATAATTTTTTTGTGAATAAGCTGCATCTTCACGATAATTTTAATATCTTTGATTTTGTTTGTTAAATCAAAATACGTACTTTATATATATGCATGTATATAGCAAGGTGTTGTAAATTTACAATAAAGATTTGCTCTTAAAATTAGTATTGTAAGATATAATAATAATATATTACAAATATAATAAAACTAATATTTGATTTATAAACAAGAAATAATGTTTCTTTATGTCTAGATTTTTTCTTCTACGTACGCTATTTTATCGATTTAATAAATGTTTCAATGAATCAGTAGTGTGTGTTTGCATAAAACTATGTAGTTCCCTACCGGAAAATTAGAAACACTGACGGCCAAGGTAATATCAGCGACAGTTAGAGTTTTTCCCGCTACATAATTTTCTCCTTCCAGGAATTTATCCAAGTAAGACAAAGCTTCGTGCAGCTTATCATATTTTGTTTGCTCCGGAGTGAGGCCAGTAAATATTATCGGATACTACAATTAATGTATGTACATATATTATATACATGTATCGTTTCTATCAATTATAGATACTAAGTTTATGAAGTATTATACGTTCCAAGAGTGACTTACGTAATAATCAGTGAACGATTGGTACAGAGTTCCCAAGTCGAAGCATAGTCTTTGATCTACCAAGGCACGTTTTTTCGGATCTTTTGGATAGAGAGAATCGTCCTTACCATATTGATTAACCAGATAGGTCATAATTGCGCGACTACAAAGCGATACAAGTGCGTAAATTATTTATAATAATAATAAATAACTGACACTAATTTTACTAAAGAATTTAAAGAAAAATACTTAACAAAATCGACAGTTATAGATACAAAAAATATACATATTTATTTTATTTGTGTAAAAAATTAAACTTGACATTTGCTAAATTTTAATATAAAAGGATTAAAAGATAAGCACCTTTCACACAAATATAAGCCGTCGTCGTCCAATGTAGGTACCGTATGTTGTGGGTTCATCTATTATACAAATATATTATATGATATATTATAAAAATATGTAATAAAATAACAATTATAGAGCGTATTCTCTGTGCGTGAATCTATACTACATACAGATTATCTAATCTATGTTCTACATTTCCTCCTTCTTAATCCTTTCTTTTTTGAAATAAATGTAAATAAATTCTCGTTTGTATGCATACTCTACAACTTTCATAAAGTAGAAGTTCACTCTGAAGAGTGAAATCTCATTTTTAAATATTGAAAATTGAGCCAGACTACAAAAGGAGTGGCTTAAAAGCTCAACTTTAGAATGAGATTCCATTCCAAAGATAACAACATAAAATTAATTAATTTAAGAATTCACTTGCATTTTAAATATTTTATTAAAAAAAATTGCATTATACGTTTTACCTTAATAAATTCAGGTTTTAGGTGTTCGCCGGCATTAAGATCCACGTTTTTTACATTTAAATCTACTCCTACGGCTGCTGCTGTCAAGAGAACAGCCCGACATGGCGGACTTCCAGTAAGTTGATAAAGATCGATGGGCATCTTGAAATCTGCGGAGATGCACGATATGTTATTAACGAAGTACGGCAGTACGCGTCACGTTCTTTTGTTTAAAACAGTATCTAATTATCCGAGTACGATTGAAAAATAGAAATAAAAGAAGAAGATACACATAATCTAGCAACATTGTTTCAAATAAATCTAATTTACGGCACATAATTTGCGTTATTAATTAGTTAAAAAAAAACTTGTCAATTATAAACCGTAAGTTAGAATATAGACCGTTGAATTTTTACAAATTTAATTGTGCACTGAACAACACAGATGTGGAAAATGATTTAGCAAGTTTTTACGTTTATAAATTATCGCGTAACAAAGTACGATTCAAACACTCATTAAATTCCATAAAAATTTATAAGGTTAGCGTCCTACACTGTGAATCACAAATATGCGCAATCGTTCAAGTATAGTTTTATCACTTCAGCGGTTCTGGTGAATGATTTATGATAGGTAAAGAGAAATAGAAATGAAAAATTATGTCAAACCGAACCTGCAGATTGTACTCTCTGGAGATGAGGAGCGAGATTATGACAGACTGTCTAATCAACTTGTTTGTCGGAGCTATATAAATAGTTCGTGGAATGTTCGTGGCGTCGACAAGAAATAGTCTCTATATTGCACACATACAAAAGTGAGATCAATTATCATTGAGAATTCTCCATACTTACTAGTATAATCTTGTTTGTTTCAAACAAGCTGTTTTATTATGTGAGTTACTTCCGCGCACTTCCTCTCTGCAATAGAAAACAATAAACAGTTCTGTATTGTGTGTGATTCAATGTCAGTCGACGATATAATCTTAGAAAAATCGTGGATGCATAAAGAAGTTTTTTCTTATATAAAAATACAATTTCAAAAATCACAATTTTTGTAACTTTGTAACGAAAAGGTAAATTGAAATGTAAGATATAATGATTTTGGTATATAATTTGTTAAATTAATTTAATGAACTGGTAATTTGCTTTTCTTTTCAATTTCAGAGTGAAAATAATTCCCTCTCCTTGATTTTTTCATTGTGTCATAGAAAACTGCGTGTGCTTATGTGTTATTTTATTGTATAAAACCTAGCCAAAAATGTAAAAATTAATAATAATAAAATTAGAAATAAAATCGTTTATATACCATCTATAATAGTCGTAAAAATAAAGAATTTATAATAAAACTTAATATCAAAATTTGTTTTTGATTTCTTTTTACTAATAAATAAAATTGATCTGATTCATCTCGGTCTACCCTACTTTACTTAATACAAATCGATTTTACGATCATCCAATTTCTTCTACTTCCATATTATTATTACACTTAATTTATTGACATAAATTTATTATTTTCGTACCGAAATGTAAATATATTTATGTTTGCAATACATCTATTCGCAAAATTGGGCAGACTTAAAAAAAATCATTGCTAACAAGTTGGTCTTATACTTGGAGAGTTCTGATGAGCCTCTCAAGATTAAATATTCATTAACTTGTGATTCTAATCTATCAATATTTTTGATGTATTAGTCTTTTTATCGATTAACAATTTGCTGTTCAACGGTATAGAAACGTCGCGTAAGAACATCAGTTTTATTGGTATATATGTATGTATTATCATCTATCATTATTACATCCAATTGTTATCAAAAGGCACGGTAATATTCCGCCGCTAAGAGAGTGCACGCATTATACGTAAAAAAAAACGTAAAAACATTGTATACATAATTAAACGATACATGTAAACAGCATAATTAAATGATAGATGTTGATGATAAAAAATGTATCATAGCGGTAGTTTTGTTATAGTCAAATGATGTAACATATCTATTGCAAGTGTTAACCGGCGTTAATTAGTTCCAGCATTATTCGTCATCGTATAAAAAATATGCAAATCATGCTCTTCTTTGCACATCATGACGAAGCGCTAAACATTTTGAAGCATTGCCATTGTTAGATAACTGAATCAAAGTACTGGCAATGTAAAAAATGACCATGAATAACTATATATGTATAATTACATATATAAATTATAAATAATATTATATATTATTTATATTAATTATAAATATAATGTTATTATAAATTTAAAAAAATTAACAAACTATATTTTTTTACAAATAATAACTTTATTACAAATAAAATGGTATAAAATGGTAGCAATAAGGAATTTTCTATAAATCTTTTAATATTCACTTTTAAAAATATTAACTTAACTGTTTATTAAATCCACAAAATAGATATAATTACAGTTAGACATGAATTTTTTACTTTAAAAAGTCTGCAATAAATTTATGAAACAATAAGTTTTTTAGAGTTCAATGCTACGGATATTTATTTCCATTCTTTTGAAAACTACATAAAAGTTTCATATAGCATTTATACAGAATACTATTTTTTAGACAAAACGACGATAGATATAACCACTTGATAGCAAATGAAAGTATTAGTCTCAGTATGTTTACGTGACTTTGAATCTCAAGGATAGTGAATGTGTTGTACATATCAATATAAATGGAAAATATTGTGAAATAAAAAATAATTCAAGTGGTATTCGGCAACTTTAATCTAATTTTATATTTAAAAATGTGTCATGTAAAGTACATCTTTTTTACAACATTTATAATATTAAATGTTTACAATTAAAAACACCTTTAAGCGCGTATTTTTTTATTATATTAATATTATGTATGTTCCAAAAAAAAAATCCGTAATAATAATAATGCTAAATTTATTGTTATATTTTTTAATATATACTTTTCACATTAAAATTGTTAATATTTGACATGCGTTATGAAAATCTGGTATGTAGTTGTACGCTTCTTTTATTTATCGTTCATGTTCCTTAATTGTGTCATATATTTTATTTTTATGATTTTATACTGTAGTTTCAAATTTATTGATTTATATTTTTATATATTAAAATTAATGATTTATGACAAAGTAATACTTGATTAGTTTCAAAAATTCATATTTATATACGTATTGTACATATGTATACATATGTAATTCTGTTACTTTAATTTTTAATTCCTTTTGTTGCAACTAAATATTACATGTCTTTAAATTTGCTCCATTAATCTGCTTAATAATTATAATTTATTTGTAAAAAATTAAAATCTCTATACTCTATAGCATATAAAAATATTGGAAATCAAATTACTGTAAAAATGTTAAAACACCAATACAACTGTTAAATAAATGCGATATTACGATATCACAAATTTTTTCTTAAAAGGTTCGACGAAGTCTGCGAATGCTTTCATGTTGACACCTTCAATTTCATTATATTTAGGAGCTTCAGCTTTGATCTTGGTATACCATCTTAGAATGTTGTTAAATTTACTCAAGTCATAGTCCATAAGCTGCAAAAAAAGAAACGTTTAAATGATTAATTTGATGTTATTTTTACTAGAATAATTTGCGAGATTATATCTTCAATAAATTTATAGTAATTAATATTATAGTTTTGATTTCAAATAATTATATACACATGTTGTGCAGCGAAGTGTTATAAATCTAAAAAGAGCGTAACGATTTACTTTAAAGAATATAAATATTATAACAATAAAACTAATAAAATTGTTTTTTTAAATAAGAAATACTTGTTTTTTATGTCTAAATCTATAGAAATACTTCGTTTCTTTTCACGCTAATATATTGATTTAACGAATCAGTGATGTATATTTGCATAAAACCGGTTTCCTACCTTAAAATTAGAAATAGTGACGACCAAGGCAAGATCAGCGAGAGTTAGAGTTTTTCCCGCTGCATAATTTTCTCCTTCTAGGAATTTATCGAAAACAGACAATGCGTTGGTCATCTTATCGTATGTTGCTTGCGTCGCAGTGGCGCCGGAGAACATTATCGGAAACTGTAATTAATATACAGACTATACATATGTATGTGTGTGTGTATTTTATTAAAATATGTTTTTCTTCATATACCTCGTAATAGGACTTAGACATCTCGCATAGTTTAAAAAAAATTCAAGTGTGTTGATTAAAATTAGACACATCTACATATGCATGTATGTGTGTGTGTAACCATTAATCATGCCGTATATATTATGAAGTATTATACGATTTAAAGATAACTTACATAAAAGTCGGAGAATGATTTATATAGTGTTCCTATATCGAAGTATAGTCTCTGATCAACTAAAGCTCGTTTCTTTGGATCTTTTGGATAGAGAGAATCTTTCTTGCCATATTGATTGGCCAGGTAGGTCATAATCGCACGACTGTCAATTAACGCAAACTCTTAATTAATTAATATTATAATAATATATAATGTTATTATTAAATAATTTGTAAAAGAAATACATATTTAATATATAGAAATTTAAAATCAACTTGTTTTGCCCAAATATTGGATTTCATAGTAAATTAAACTTAAAAAAAATTAAGTTGACAGTTTAAAAAAAATATATTTATTTTATACGTAAAAATTAGACATTTAAATATTAAAATAATAAGTTAAATATTAAATAAAAAGATCAACAGAAAAATACCTTTCACCCAAATAAAAGCCATTGTCATTCAGTGTAGGTATTGTATGTTGTGGGTTCATCTACATTAAAATGTAAAATAATAATTATTTTAAATTATCTTAAAATTTGAAGTATGTTTTTATTTGATAAGTAAATCATAAAAACCTAGAAACTCAAAAGATCTGTTTTTGATATTTAAGAAAAATATTTTTGAAGAATTTTCAGTTTCAATTATAATATAATAAATTACTGTATCTTTTATTCTCTCCAGCATTAATTCTTTCTTTTTTGAAAAAAAAAAACGTAAATCAACATCAGATAATTTAACTTGAAGGATTCACTTATTTATATCTTCAAATGTTTTATATGTATTTTATAAGAAGTTATTGCAAATTACCTTTAAAAATTCAGGTTTTAAGTGTTCGCCGCTACGAAGATCAATGTCTTTTAGATTTAAATCCACTTCTAAGGCCGCCGCCGCCAAGAGCACGGCTCGACATGGCGGACTTCCGGTACGTTGATAAAGATCGATATAACGCAGTTACCAGTAAAGTTACCAAAAAAGTAACTTGTAACTGTAACTTCGTTACAAGTAACGAGTTACTTCCATTCCCTGGTATTTTATAAGAAGTTATTGCAAATTACCTTTAAAAATTCAGGTTTTAAGTGTTCGCCGCTACGAAGATCAATGTCTTTTAGATTTAAATCCACTTCTAAGGCCGCCGCCGCCAAGAGCACGGCTCGACATGGCGGACTTCCGGTACGTTGATAAAGATCGATAGGCATCTTGAAATCTGCGGAAATGTGCAACGCTCTATTAATAAAGTAGTCACTATGATCGCTAGAGAGTGAATCGGAAGTATTCAAAATATAACTGCACAAAACTATTTTCAAGGGTATGTGAGAATTTTTCATGTTTAAAAGAGCAACTAATTATCTAAGCGTGATTAAGAAACAGAAAGAAAGAAAAGAGTAACTAAAATATCAGACACAATCTGGTGATATCATCTCAAATAAATCTAATAAAAAAGGCTATAAATTTGCGTTCATTATATAGTTAAAAAGTAAATTTGTTAATTATAGGCCGCGAAAGTGAGATGGGCTGTGGTTACACATTCAACTATGCCCTGGGTAGACGCGGAAAATAAATAAAAAATTTCATGAATAAAATATATTTCATAAAAAACGTCCATAAATTATTGCGTAACAAGGAACGATTCAAACACTTGCCGAATTTAATCGACTTCGCGCACTGTGAATCACAAATATTCGCAATTGTTCAAGTAGTCTTATCACTTTAGCAGTTTTAACGAACTATGGTGGAAAGAAATGGAAGTGAAAAATTACAACGAACCTGCAGATTGTATTCTTTAGAGGCGTGTAGCGAGATTATGGCAGACTGTCTAGTCAACTTGCTTATTCGAGCTATTTATAAAGCCCGCGTAACACGGGACAGCCTCTGTTTTTCACCGACGTACGAGTGAGATCGATGCTCGAGTAGGTTGAGGGTTCTCAATGCTTGGTAGTAGTCGAGGGCGTTGCTATTTTCTACTTCATAACAATTTTTTCGATCATTTTAAATGTTCTATTTACATAATAATTTTATTTACGTATACTTTTACAAAAAACAAACACAATGTATACATTATTGAAGAGATTGAGCGCCTAGTGGTAAAAACAATCAATACTTTTTACTTTCTGTGAATCCACCTTACTCATCACTCAATTGCTCTACTTGCTCGCGACGTAACACTCTTATCTTTACATTTATCTGATTGCACACTGTACAAATATTAGATATAAATATCAGTTAAAAATTATTGTATAGTAGTTTGAAAACTGCAGGTTTTATAAGTTTATGTTGTTTGAAATATAAAATAAATACATTTTTATTACATATCTAATAAATTCAATTACTGTAAAATAACATAATTATTGACGTCTTTAAGAAAGGCAATTGATTTGCTAGTCAGCATTTTTTGTCTTTAATAATCATGTTAATTAACTTCGGCATGTCCATCATTTGGTATTGTATAAAAAATTTGCAAGTCATGCTCCTTTTACATATTTGTGTTCATTGCATTCATGAGGAAACGTTAAAGTTTTAGCCGTTATCAGTCGAATGACTATCAGATTTGTATCAGTAGTGGACAAAAATAATGTTTCATCTTGTTTCACCATCGATAATATTAACTTTTTGAAGGATATATATTATATATAAATAAAATAGTATTAATATAATAAGACATTTTCCTTTTAAATCTTTTAACTTTTTAATTTCATTTTTAAACACTTTAGCATTTAATTTTAAAAATATAAATTAATTGTTTATTTAAAGCCTTCAGAAAGCAAAGATAATTATAGTTGAACAAAAATGTTTTATATTAGTAGAAAATCTGCAATAAGTAACGTCACAATAAAGGAATGCTATAAAAACACTCACTTTTTATTCTTTTAAAGATTATATAAATTTCATAATTGTCTTTATATTTAAATTATTATTTTTCAGAGAATTCAGCAGACAATCCACTTGATAGCAAATGAAAGCATTGGTCTGAGCGTGGCATTTTTGTGGCCTTGAGAGACCTTTTAAGATTTCATCTTCCTACATCAATGTAGGAAACGTTGGATGAGTTACGCGTAGTGAATAATGTAAAAATAAAAACGACATTTCAATATCACCATTAGTATCGAAAATGCGTTGTAACGTAATTTTAACTCGCACTTTTACTTTCCACGAGCACAGTTAAAACAGACTTTTGCATAATACTCTTTCTTGTATGATCTTCATAATACAATAATTCTGTGTAATTGCTGTATAAATTAGAGATAATAATAAAACAAAATAATTTAATTTTGACATATAAATGTATGTATATTTATTATATATTCATACACAGTCCAATAAAATGTAAATTCTTATAGATGACAAATACAATATATCTATAACTATCTACTTATGATAAAAAACTAGAAACTTTGAAACCGTTTTGTCGCTATATATGTGATGTGCTATTGTGATAATGTTATAATTATGTATTGTTAAAGTTGAAAATATATTTATTAGAAGTAGAGACATTTATATGCGTAGCCATATTTATTCAATATTCCAATGAATAATATACTATTTTTACTATTTTTTTTTTACTTTATGCTAACAATAAGTTTTTTACACTCTTACATGCTATGAATATCCATAAAACGTTCATATAATTATTTAATTACACAATTCTATTATTATTATATAATTCAATAATTATGTATTTATATATATTCATTAATTTATTACTTAATTATTTATAAAAGTAAACGTATTTTTACTTTAAATTTTTGTTTAAAGTACATAATTCAATAATAATTTTTCATAAACTTATGAGTTGCAATTTGTGTTTCTATCACAGATATATCAATTGAAAAGTAATCATTATTTAAACAATGTCGTATTTCATATTCCAAAAATTAAATAAATTTCTATGTTATGTTAAAATTTATTGAATAAAATATACAAGTAATTATTTAAAGTATATATTGTAAATAAAAACAGGTTTTGTATATAGTGTGTGAGTTTTGTAATCTTCAGATGATCGTTATCCGACACACGATACAGATGGAATGATATATGTTGAACGTGAATAATGTAGAATTTTAGTAGTAGCGTTGCCATCAGTCGGCAAATTACTCATTTTACTTGATTAAAATTTAGTTGATAGCATCACATGCAAACGTTTTATTTATTTAATATATGGTTTAGCTCGAAGATTTAAATTAAAATATAATATATTTATTACGTATATTATTCATTTGCTTCTTCTCCTCCATCTTCTCCTTCTCCTTCTGCTTCTTCTTCTCTTCCTTCTCCTTCTACTTCTTCTGTGTTGCCTTGTGAATCATTTCCTTGAAGCATTTGCTTGAACATTTCCATAGGTCCATTATTAATCTTATCGTATCCAGGTGCAGATGTTTGTATTCTTTCCAACCAGTCAGAAATGTTTTTGTATTCTTCCAAATCAAACCCAAAAGCCTAGCAAACAATCGATTACTTTTGCAGATCTCAAAAATAATTTCTAGATATGTGACAACTGTCCATTTTGGCAACAAAATAATTAAATTCTTATATAAAATTACTAATAGAGAAGGAAGGATTATTTTAAAATTATCTTCAAATGAGAAATGCTACACCAGAGAAGAAACATTTTATCCTTTCGACTTGTTAACACTATTAAAATTACCATCGCTGTGGTTATGGACGCAACTAGGGAAAGATCGGCGATCGTTAAAGTATCTCCAGTCACGTAATCTTGTCCTTCAAGAAAATTGTTCATAATTTGGAAGTTTTCTGTTAGTTTTTTATATTGCTCTGGATCATGCGCATCGACTCTTTTCATAAAGACGAGGATCTACGATCATAAAATGTGCAATGATCGATCATGTGCAGCCTCAATATGATTTATTTAGAAATAATGAAAGTGCACGTACGTAATAAGCGAGTATACTCGCAAAAAGACTGTCCAGATCGAAATATAATCGTTGATTAACTAAAGCACGTGCCTTTATATTGCGTGGATACAATGTATCATCTTGGCCATACTGATCGACTAAATAACCCATGATAGCTCGACTAAAATATGCAATTTCTTAATAAAAATAGTAATGTAAATACTATAATTAAATTACATAACATTTCTTGACGCTTCTACAGACCTTTCTGATATTTTGAGATCATCGTCGATTAGGAAAGGAATTGTCTTTTGTGGATTTATCTGGAAAAAAAAATTACGCTCTTTCTAATATTAAAAAATATAATGCTTTTCAGTAATATTTTATGTTGAAATTATGAAATTATCTATAATGGTAAAAGCATTTTTACTTAATAATGCATTTAAACATTATTAATTTAATAATTTTTCATACCTCCTCGAATTCCGGTGTCAAAGTCTCACCAGTCCATGGGTTCAATGATATCAACTCCAGTTCGAGCCCTATTGCTTCTGCCACGAGCAAGACAGCTCGGGAAGGTGGACTGAAAGGAAAATAATATAACACTGGCATTATTTGTTTTTGAATAGCTCAATTTGCTTGATTGATGTATATATTATTCGTGTAGTTTATAACACGTTTACAAGTATTATTTCTTTGTTAATTCAATAAACGAATAAGTAAAGTTTTCGTTTTTTAAAGAAAACAAATGCACACACAGTTCCAGGTTTGCACCAAGACTGAACAGTTGGACTATTCCTTTTCATCGAATCGATTTACCGCCATGTATTTAAATATTACTGCTAGTCTGTAGCTTTGACCTTTATTAGATTTTTATAACAGATAGATGCAGATAGATGGAAAGCTTTATTTCTGTTTTTTTTTAACAATTAGAAACAGTGCTACAAACAACTGTAAAATACAATTGATGCAAATACAGACTATTATACTGTAATTGTCGTTATTTAGAGAATAAAGTCAAATGAATATCAAATTTAAGATCGACTATCCATGACAAATTATGGATATAATGATAACGGACGAATTCACGGTTTGAAAGACTAGTTTATATCAAATTGAAGATTATCGTTATAAAAAGTGCCAAACGGGAATAAAGATTCTTTTTAACTGTTAGAAAAATTATTAATTTCAGAAACTTTAATAAATTTTTTAAAATAATTTATATTTAAAGAATTACATAATACTTTCTATATATTTTAAGAATTGTAGCCTTTTAGTCATTGCTTTAAATATATTAATTAAAAATTACTAAAGATAAGGAGATTTAAATATCATGTATAGTTGTTATAAAATCTTTAAAATAGAAAAATAGTAAAAGAACTTATACGGTTTATATTACTCCGACTAAAAAAGTTGTTGTTACAAAGAATTACGAGTACATTGTACATGCTGTATGCCGAAATTATATGATATTCTTTTTATATATATATATATATATACATAATATAAAATTCTCTTTATATACAATAGATATAATAAATAAATCATAATAGATTAAATAAGGACAAATTTTTATTAAAATGACTATATTAATAATTAACCTGTAGTTTTAAAATTTGCTTTGCATATGTATGGCATAACTTTACGACGGCCGATGTGGAATTTACCTGTTAACAAGCTTTTAAGTGGAAAGAGGAAGATTTTGGTCTGGTCGTGAAAACTTTTTGTTCGTGACAAAGCCATGTACAAGCCAGGTCAAGATTCTCTAAGGGCAGACCGTTCATGGAAACTATGCTAAAGTTTTCCTGTTATTAAATGACCAGTAGAGAGAGAGGTGAGAATTCTTAACTTTATACCCATAAAATTTTGCGGAGAACATATATTATCTCGTAATATTTTAATAATAACTTTCGTCGGATGTTATAAGGAGATGATAATTGCAAATAGGATATTAATTTCTTATATTTAGAACCGTAAAATAGTACAACTTTTGTGTTATCTGCAATTAAATATATTTATTTAAAATTAAAATCAATTTTTATATGTATCATAATTTTTTATTAAGTTCTTGAAAAGAAATTCGTAGTAATAATAATAATGATAATAATACTGAATTTGTCGTCATCTTCTTTAACTTCTTTAATGTAATATATTTTCTTCATATCACAGTTTCAAGTTTATTTATTCATTAAAATTAATTATTAATAATCGACAGCATGTTAATGCTTTTTAGATTTTTTTATTTTATTCACTTTAATTTTTTATTCTTTTTGTTAGAACTATGTATCCTCTCTAAAACTTAATTTAGTATAAATCTTACTCTGAAGAGTGAAATCTTACTCTTAGAGATTGAAAATTGAGCCACTGTGTTTCAAGACTGGTTCAATTCTTACTCTTTAGAAATTCCACGCCAAAGAATTCAGAAAGATACACGCTTTTAAATTAGCACTCCTTTATTTGTTTAACAATAATAATTTATTTATTTAAAATCAAAATTTGTGATATATAAAAATGCTGCAAGACAAATTATTACAAAAATATAAAAGTCAATGGATTATACAACTGTTAAAACTATTACAAACTATTATAAACTATTATAAACTGTTACAAAATTATTTAATATTTATTGTTAAAACTATATTACAAAATTATTTCTTTTTAGTAGAATAGAGTAGAATCTCTGATCATCCAAAGCTCGATTTTTTAAATCTTTTGGGTAAAGAGAATTATTTTTGCCACACTGGTTAGCCAAGTAAGTCATAATCGCGCGTCTGCAAATCAATGCAAGCATGGTAAATGTTACAATAATGTTTAACTAACGCTAATTTTACTAAAGACTTTATATACGATTTTGTAAATCTAAAAGAATTCGTAAATCTAAATTAGTTTTAAGTAAATCAAAACTTATAATAAAAAATATAAGTTAATTATTGTAGATAAGGTATATTCATTTTATGAATATCAGACATACGACATTCGCTAAATGTTAAGGCAAAACAGTTAATAAATAAATACCTTTTCCATAAATGTTGGTCATTGTCATCCAAGCATCGTATGTTGTGGGTTTATCTATAAACAAAATATGTAATAAAATAACAATTATTTTAAATTATTTTATGAAGTATACTTTAATCATTAAATTGATTAAAAGTACTTAAAAACAGAAAGATTCTGCTTTTTTTATATTTGAAGGAACGGTTTTTAAAGAAAACATGTTTGGATAATTTTCAGTTTTCATGTTATTGAAAAGCAAATTTAAATTCAAAAAATTATTAAAAAGAAAAATAACATGTTATACGTAAACAGAATGTTTAAAGCTGTCGTTATAAAACATTTTGTTGTTTATATAAAATGTTTTTACACCTTTAATATTTTGAATATTAGAAATATTGAAAACAGTGGTTTATCAATAAATGTTGCGCAACATAAACATTTCTACCTATATGTAGGATATTTAAAAAAAAGTGCATAAAAGCAATTCGCAATTGAAACTCTCGGGAGTTGTTAAAAAAATTAATTAAAGAAAACTATTATAAATTTTTTAATGATTTTTAAAAAATGAATTATAAATACTACATATTTTGTTCCTGATATTGTTACGTTTGTAAAAATGTGAGAAATCTTTTAGGTGATAAGACTCAGACCAAAAGAAACAGACAAAACATGATTTCTCTCAAATTCGTTTAGTTAGTGACAATAAAATTTGGCACCAACGCGTGTGTTATAAGATATAAAATCTTGAAAAGAAATTGGTTATATAAGCAAATATTGCCTAAACATGCTACAAATATGTTATCTTTCTAATAAATGTGGTGTCTCGAAGCAGGTCTACTATTTTTGTAGAATACCGTCAAATGCACGGTTTCTATTGTTCTATATAAAGCTCTATTTAGGGTACTCAGTTCTGAGAGACAATGGAGACGTTGAGTGGCATCGCGTGGCTTTACACGCGTTGCATGGTCGTCTGAGTTAACGAGTTCCGGTTTCAATCCTAGTTTTCGCTCCAGACTATGCTTCATTAAGAAGTATTTTTCCGTGAATTAAGAAATGATAATTCCATGTGCGCACGCGGACTGAGAACATTGTGTTGTAATACCTTTTATGAATAAATTTAATATTAAAGCATCAAGGGCATTTTCTTGAGGCGGCTCCTGCTATAACTCAATTTCAATAAAGCGTGGGTGCTGTGACCTATAAAATATCTCAAGTTAGAAATCGAAATAGAGATAGTAGAGGAGGAAGAAAAATCAAATTTATGTTGATATACCCTTGAATATTAAGAGAAATTTAATCTCAAATAACGGAACAGTTAAAACTTTGAGTTCCACCGGTTCATAAATTCACAGCAAATGCTAAGCATGTCTTCAATGGACAAAACAAGCGGATGCGTAAACACCAGAAAAAAGTTCTAGCTAAAAAATACGAACAGCTTAGATTTAGTTATTGCGCCCTCTTCTCTTGTTCTACAACTCCGGATTTTCTTGCTACTTCTTTCTAGTGAACTTTCTAATGAACGATTTCTCCTCTTGTCTCCTCGTTTGACTATGCTATCTTCCGCCGAACAGAATTCACCCTCTTCATCCACTTTAACTGAATGAATATTTTCCGATTCTCCTTCTTCTACCTCTTCTATCCCTCCATCATCGTATTCTTCTGTTTACTTTCTTGAACAACCTCGTGCTTTTCCCCACATATTCCAACTTAACTTCGAAAGTATTTGTGGGAAAAATTTCTGTCTGTTCTTCTTTTATTAGATATTATGACAGCACAATTCACCAGAATTACAAATATTTCAATTTCCTCACTGAATTACCTCGTTATCTCGTGGCATTTCGAAATACATACGATCGATATCCGATTTCGATTTTATGAAGTTCGACTCGTGGGTTTCAGACAAGAGTGTAAAATTTCTGTTTTTCTCTTTCATTCTCTCTTTCTCTATTTAATTCTCATAATCTAATTTGTAACATTTTTTTCCTTTTACCTCAGCTACAATTAAAGAAAAAGATTTATAGGCTTGTAATTTTTAATATGTGTAACTGACAATTTCATTACTAAATTTTAGACGTTAAAAAAATAACGCTATTTTTATTTATTTAAGTTCTTGCTTTCATTTCTTGTCTTATAACGATTTCACGATCTTAGGTTATATATAAGTTAGATAGGAATTAAATCCTTTGATTGAAAAATAAGACCGACAATCTGCTCATAAAGAAAATACTTAAGCATCTTTTTTAGGACATTATGTTCCAAACTCATAAAAGCCATATTTGACACGGTCCTGGTGTACCTGCAGAGCAGTCAACCCGCATCTTTTCATATCCCCTCCATCTGTCTTTTCTCTTTTAAAATAAACATAAATGAATCCTCCTTGGACGTTGCATTTATATTCTTAAATGCTTTTCTTTTGTAAAATTCATATTACAAGTCATCTTAATAGTAAATTCAGATATTCGCCGATCTTGAGATTCACGTTTTTCAGGTTTAAATTCACTCCTATGGTCGCCGCTGCTAAGCGCACGGTCTAGCATGGTAAACTTCCGGAAACTAACAATAAGTAGAGATCGATGGGCATCTTGAAATCTGCGAAAACGCGCGACTCTATTAATGAA